TTTCTCCATCTCTGAGTGAAGTTAGCGCTCTCTAAAATACAGCAGCTGGACCTGTGGCTGCAACACGCTGTACGACAAACTGCACACAAGCAGTTTGTGTGTTTGCTGATGTTTGTTGAGCCGATAGAAACATTGCATTTGAAACAACCTGTGAAAACATCTTATTCCCTTTATGCTCACCAGTCTCGGCTAGCTGGATGCTGAGTTACCACAACCGAAACTGATGGACACCTGCAGTCGTTCTGGTGCTGTGCCACACCGGCCCACTTTAACTGCTAACTATGGCACACTTTTGTCTCTTTCTTCTGTTTTTATGCAACAGCTCCTGGTGATGACTACATTAGTATTAGTGGGGTTCAAATACTGTGCAAAAGCACCATAAGACTGAAGATAAGATTCCAGAAGCCGGGAATCGGAGTGCCAGGCCCTCCGTCTCGGACTTCCACCCGATCCACTAAAAACCAAACCCCTACGGCCCAGCCTGCAGGTCGTGGAGCCGCAGGCTGGGAACCCTAGTAAAGGGACCTCTGGCTGATACGTGGGGTTCGTGTTGGGCTCGTAGCTGAAAACTAGCTTTACTTTGTTGTCTGGGTCGACTTTGCTAGTGAGAGACAGAGAGAGGCGTTGAAAGGCTGCTTATTGTTTCAGAGGAAAACACGGACACAGCGTACAGTCGAGTCTTAACAGCTTACTCACAGCTGGGCTCGTCAGGCTCTCTGTTTGGCTGCAGTGGTTATTATTATATTTACATGCTTCCAGCTCCCGTTTCTGCTCGATGACAGCTCCTACTTTTCCTTTCTCTCCCTCCTCGCTCACAGACACATAACTGGTATGACAGTCCATCCTCCCTGCAGCACGGACTACACTGCCCTGCATGCTTTAGGGCGATGCCTGTAACACTCTGCCTGTTGCCTTCATATTAAATCTTTTTTAAAATATTTCTTCACATCATTATGAGACGCGGGATTGAGACGCGGGCATTAGGGCCTGTAGCGTGTTTTGTTTGGGTTTCCACTGGTGTGGAATTACCAAAAATAGAGGCTATAGCCTTATGAAACAGGAAAGTACCGCCGTGTAATCCCTTTAGTTCAACAAAGTAACTGTATTCTGAATATCATCTTTTTAAGCGGTAACTGTAACAGAATACAGTTACTCATATTTTTATATACGTAACGGCGGCACATGTACTCAGTTACTCCCCAACACTGCTCAGCTGTTAAATCATACGCCATCAGCTTTTGTGAAGTTTCTGCTCAGCAAGAGAAAACAGGAAGTGGAGTAATAACAGGAGACATGCTTTGTGTGTGTGTGTGTGTGTGTGTGTAATGGGTCTGAGTTTTAGTACTTTTGTATCAATAGAAGCATTCATGGACACAGTGTGAATGTGTGTGGTGTTTAGCACAGTGTGAGGCAGAGAATGAAACCGAAACCTTGTTCTGCTGCTTCAGCTCGTTTAATCTGTACTGGGAGGACCCGAGGTGTGTGTTTGTGTGAGACTATGATTAAATATAGTGAGTGATGGGGATTTTAACAGTAGTCACTCTGTCTCTCTGTAGAACAATGACTTCCTTGTGAGTTCTCACCTGACTTTGGCCATCAGGACGACACCACAGCTCTGTGTAGTCCCCACCATTATCCCGAATGCTGGCCCAACTGTATTATTACTGGTTTACTGGGGCTGTTAATCATTTATAATCACTGGCTAATTCGAGTTTTGTTTGTAAAACTAAACTTTAGGCTGGGAATATTTGAGTATGATGACATTTTAGGGTGATAATAAAATAAAGTGTTTTATATAATAGAAAATATCTTCAGACATTAAGGTAGACTGGTTAGTCTTTCTGCTTGGGGTTTGGCACCATTGTTGCTCTGCCTTCCTGTCACTCGCTGCTCTACTTTATCATTGTCCAAGCAAAACATGACCAGTGTGAGTAACCTTGTTCCTTTAGAAACATCAGTGTGCATGATGAGCTCTAGCATTTAAGCAACTAGCACATCTCTGCTTCAGCTGGCCTTAAGTTCTCGGCTTTATATGTAAAAACAGCTGAAGCAGTCTAGCTGTATCTTACACAGTCTGGACGGAAATGCCGAATAAATTGTAATGCAGGCTTATCTGTCCTCTCTTTGTCATGCTGCTGTGTGTTTGCTGTGTGTTATACTCCTTTACCACCTGTTCCTGTTGACTATTCAGCTGACAGCAGCACACTGAGGTGTGTGTGTGTGTGTGTGTGTGTGTGTGTGTGCGTGCACTCAAGTCCATAACAGGTTTCTGTGGTTAACCACATGCTAAGGTCACCCGGTGACGAGCACTGATTGTGCTGAGACACAAAGGTGAGGAGGTGAGCTGTGACTCTTCAGAAACACATGACTGACTTTGCCCCACAGCACTTGGAGTGATGTCATTAAGTGTCCTCTTAACTGTTCAGTGAGGTCGAGGTCAGGTGACCGTTTGGGCTCGTTATCCTACAGCAGTGATGAGTGGTCAGAGTGGAGCTTGTGCACGCACACTGACCAAAGCTATAAACGTAGCAAAGTTCCAGCGCCGCCGCGTTTCTATCAGAGAGAAACAGCTGCCCCGCTGCAGCAGGTGACCTTGGCTCCTGTGTTTAACAGTTATCTCGAATAACAAGTTAAATAACCTCCAGTACACACTCCCCAACCCACACTGTCTCTGCTCGCTGGGTGACTTCAGGAAGAAGATCTTTGTCCCACAGGACTGTGTTAGAGCTGCAATGTAGTCACGTTTGCTGTAAAATAAACATGATGGCTTTAGCTGCTTTCAAATACCTCGCTGTAACGGCCAGAACACCTTTGTTCCTGATGACACCACGGCTGTGAAGTGAACTGCAATCAGTGTTTTGTGGTTAGTGAGCAGCTGGCTGGCTAACCACACCCGGATGATCTGATATCCTCGTGTTGGTGTTGTTCCCAGACCATCATGAAAATGTTGTTCCAGGTTCAACATTGCAAGTGACCAATCACATTGTTGTGACGTTATTCTTTTGTGCGCCAAGCCATTCGTGCATTTCTGAAATTCCAATGTTGCAAGGACAATATCAGTTCTGCTTACTGTTTATTAACGGGTCAGGGTCCGTTGATCGGCGGACAGAGGCGGTTTCTCGCAGCTTAAGTACAGTTTTTTGTTTTACGCCGGTTTTTCCCGAAGTCGCAAAAGTATGACGTCACAACATTCTGATTGGTCACTTGCAATGTTGATCCTGGAGCAACATTTACTATGATGATCTGGGAACAACACCAACACGAGGATATCAGATCGTGCAACCACACCCTGTGTGTTGTACTGCTGTGAGAAGCAAACACTTCTGAGATTGAAACTTGGGTTTCATTAGCACGTATGAGGATGTTTGACCACGTCACACCCAACCTTCTGTTTCCAAACTATAACTATTTTGATCCAGATCTACAAATAGATTGAATGTTTCATTCAGCCTGATCCACAGTGCTCACTGAACCGTACACTCAACAGCAGTGTGTATGTTAGTGTGCGCTGTTGCACGCTGTTGGTCGTACTGAGGTCTGATGTAATATCTGTGATTGTGACATGTTGTCACATGTTTTAGCGTCTGCAGCCCAGAAACAGCCTGCTTGTGTATAAATATGACACATTCAAATACCAGATAGGAGTTTTTCTTCCTCCAATCTCTTAACTTAGCTCCTATGCTACAGCAGAACACCTCAGGAGACCCCTGACCTTTAACCCTCCTTCAGCTCCTGTGGGAATCTGGCACATACAGCCTCTACCCATTGCTGCCAGCTGTGTGTGTGAGAGCAGCTGATGCAGCAACTCCTGACGCGTGACTGCTATTTATTCTTCAAGTCATTCACACAGTCTGATGTTTCTGGCTGTACAAGATGAATACGACAGGAAGCACAACCAAAAGACCATGTGTACGTTTATTCATTTATATTCACCTCATAGCAACAAGGTTGTGGGTTTGAATCCAGGCAAATTTGCACTCTCCCCGTGTCTCATGTGTCTGCTTCCTCTCGAAGTCCAAAGACATGCAGGGTTAACTGGTGATGCTACATTACCTTTAGTTGTGAATCTGAATGGTTGTTAAATGGCTGTCCTGTCCGAGGGTGGACCCTGACGACTGTCCTAGACTCCCGTCCCACCCTCGATGCTCAAATCGAAGAGTTGGATCGAGCGATAGAAATGACAAAAACCGATTAAAATGAAAACTAATGTGACACCACAGCAAAGGAAGGAGGAGTGTGAGTGCCACCTGGGAGCGTGTGTGTGTGCGTGTGTGTGTGTGCATGTGTGTGTGTGCGACATGGCAGCTGCTGCACAGATGCTTGTTTGTGACAGACTCGCTCATCTGGACCTCTGAGTGCGTCCGTTGCCACAGAGCTTGGCTTTCCTGTGCCTGCACGTTTGTCCCCATCACAGCAGATATTTATAGCTGTCAGAAGTATTTGAAATAATTTCACATGACTGTAGTCTTGGGTCAGGTGATGTGACGTGTGGATCGTGGTGCAAACACAGACCAGGACGTTTAGGCAGACCTGATGTGTTGGTTGGATTAATGTCAGTACTGCAGGATGATGCTGGGCTCTTCTCCCTATCAGCTGTATACGCTGAATGCAGAGTGGGACCAGGTGTTCCTCTTTTTTACCATAAAGAAATTGATGAGCAGGATTGATATTTTTCCAGAAACACACCGACTCTGCAGACAAAGAAAGACTTTGTATGTTTGTTTGTTTACTTTTGCTGCCACGATGCCAGGCCTCCCTCGGAAACGAGGCTTTAATCTCAATGAGATGTTTACCTGGATACAGGACTAATAAAAATGTTCTGATACGAGTGCACGGCCCTGTCACGTTGTTTACAGTGTAAACTTACTGATTAGTGTTGAAGAGCTTAAATCCACACATCACTTTAGTATGTTGAGCACACAGCCTGAAGTCAAAGCAACAGGTTACATAACAGATGGTGTGTGTTTAAAAAAAATCATATGTTGTGTGACTCCTTTCAGAAAACTACTCTGTTGGCGGCTCGGACGGCAAGACCGAATCGGTGGCCAACCTTCAGCCGCAGCCGTCCCTCAGCTCCCTGCAGTCCAGCTCTCCTGGTCCCAAACGCTCTGGGAACACTCTGAGGAAGTGGCTGACCAGTCCGGTCCGCCGCCTCAGTGGCAGCTCTGTTAAGAAACTTCCTAATCACAAACAGAAGAAGCCAGGTGAGAGGGGCAGAAACGGTCATGATGACATGTTAATGTGCTGCAAACACCCCCACTCTCCACACTGAAGCTCCTTTAGCTTGTTATTACACTGCAGCAGCTTTCCTGCTAACACGGTTTCAGTTACATTAAAGCTGCTTTCATTTGTTCCTTCAGTTATTTTTAACGTTGTCATGCTCGCAGCTGCATCGTATGGAAGCCCGTTTCCACCACTAAATAAAAACAAAACAGCTAGTATCCATAACTCGAAATTTGGAGTTATTTTCTCGAAATTTTGAGTTAGCTCTGCCAATCAAAAATATACCTGAACGAGGTCGCTTTCTTGTTACCCGGAAGCATATGGTGCAGAGGAACGCGCACTCAAAAACGGATCCCAACAAATTGGCGCTTTGGCGAGTACGTTTGCTGATAGCAACACCATGTGATTCAGCTAATAACACAAGGATTTCATCATTTGTGAAGCCAGGCTGAAAGCACTCAGCAATCTGTGCATTCACGACTGGATGTAATACCGGTAGCTTAGCTGTGGCATTTGTAGCTGAGGGCTTCAGCTTCTGGGTAACGAGGAAATGACGTCATTCACGTAGATTACTGATTGGCAGCGCTAACTCGAAATTTCGAGTTGCTTTTCTCAAAATTGTGAGTTTAATAAAGGTGCTGCTGGATGTTTGGAGAGTGTAATGTAAAAATGACCCTCGGACTCCAAACAAGGAGTTAAAGACCAGCAACCAGAAAACACAGCGAAGTCCAAAAACCCGAGCTCAAATGTAGTGTTGTGGGAGGAGAAGTTAAGTTGGAGTAATCCACTGATTAGTGGTGAAAATGAACACAGAATGGGTGAAAAACCGCTGCAGCTGGTGACGAGAAACTGGTTTAAGCTGTGAACAAGTCTGTGACAGCAGAGGACACAGTTCAGCTGACGGCACTCGCAGAGAGGAAAACTAAGACGTGCGCACAATGCCTGACACATCTTCACATCTGTGTGTGTTTGAGTGTTAAAGTGATTCTGTGACTGACTGGCTGCGACTTGTTGTCAGGGCCAGGAACAGGAAAAGAGGAAATCAGGAAGAGCATCGACCTGGGTCAGCCTGACCTTACCCTGCAGGATGATGTCACTGGTGAGGTAAGCACTGAGGGTGGTTTCCTGATCTGTGTTACAAACACTGTGGCTGCTGAAGCACTGAACATTCCCAGTGCTGAGATCGTGTGATGGTGCTGGGATGCAAGCAGGTACAGCTTCACCTGATTGGCCTGTCACTCACAAACTGACTGCAGAGCTGTGTGAGCATTTATGTCAATATATCTGTATTTATCCTGAAATATGACACACGTGTTTCAGTAAACTTTCTCAAACTTTGTTCGTCTTAAGTTTGACTTTGTCTGATGAGAGGTGTAACACTCCACTAACACAACAGTGTCATTTATTTAAACTGCAGAAAGTCATGAACCGGGGCAGAAATGCATGTGACAAAAAAGCTTTTGCTGTCGGTGCTATCCTAAGATATACATGATTCACATAACAGGTGGTAAATAGATGAGGTTCCTCTTTTTGTGTGAAAAGTTTTTCCTTCTCTTACGCACGAAAACACCCACACAGACAAACGTGATCACAGCCATGGCTCCCTCCCTGATGGACGAATGCGTTTTATCCTGTATCCGCAGTGTTAGCCAAAAAATATGATAACATCAGTGTTTCTGAGCCTCTACGTGACTGAGTGTCACCGTGAAAGGATCCACAGAAATAAATCGATTTGGAAAAACAATAAGCTTCGACTGCTTAACGAGGTTTATTTAAAAGCCCGAACCATGAAGCACGAGAGCCTATGATTCGTCATTGCTTCTGCAAATGAAATAAGCTCTGTCTTTGATGTCAGACTGGTTTTATAGAGAGCTGAACTCTCCAGGAACAGCTGCCACTTTATTGTTTTATTAGTGAAAAGATATGTGGCTCATAGATGGCACAGTCATGTTGTATCTTACTATCAGTGGGACCAGTAACGTGGTACGTAACCAGCTGCTGATGCTGTGTGTCTCCTCTCAGAGAGTCATCAGCAGAGATGGCAACATCCTGTCTAAGACGTCTGGGATGCAGAGTGGTGGGGAGGAGGAGCAGGATGAAGACGCCCACACCCCTCTGCCTCCCCGTATGAAGATCATCAACGACCCATCAGATCCTGATGACAAGGTAATTCGGCCCAGCAGAGTTTTTCCCTTAGGTTAGGCTCCCAGACAGGCTGCTGTAGGTCTGGCTTAGGTCAGCCTGTAATTACACAAGTGTTGCCTGTGGGAAATATGCTGTTACTTACACTCATGGTTTACTCTGATCAGCTGGATCTGCTTAAAGTATAAAAACAGATGATTTTGTGTGACCAGCTGAACCACGTTCTGCTCGTCTGCTTCGATCTGCTGTCTAATAAACGGGGCTGGGTTTGGTAAACGGACTGATTCTTATATAGCGCTGTTCTACATACAACATGCCTCATTCGCCCACTCACACAAGCACTCCTATCTTGGAGCGTGTCCATCTGTAGCTGCTGTCTTCTGCCGATTAACAGATTTTCTCTCCTTCCTGCTCTTCGTTTCTTTGGTTTTCTCTGTATTTCTTTCTTATCATTCTCATATTTAATAAACACCTATACTTTCTGTTCCCCCTGTCCTCTCTCAGTCTTCGTCCTTGCTCACCTCTCTGCAGTCTTCCTCTGAGGTGCCCAGTGCTGCAGAGCTAGTTAGCGCCATAGAGAAACTGGTTAAAACCAAGATGGTGAGTGTGTGTTAGTTAGCACGGTCTAACAGGTGCTCTTCTTTGTTCATTTTAAAATGACTTGTGACGTCCACACAGTGAAGGCACGCAATGTGCCGACCACTCCAGCCTGTCTGCTGTCTAATAACACTAATACACTATGTTATGAAAAGTATGAACTTGAGTGACATCCACAGGGTTTAATATGATGACTGCTCACCCTGCTGGGGTTTATGTGACTCCAGTTAGAAAACTATACTGTCTCTGACAGCAAGACTGAGTCGGTGGCCTCCAGCCCTCAGCTCGCTCTGGGAACACTCTGAGAAAGTGGTTTCCACAAGGTTTAGCGGTGTGCATGACAGCATCTTGGTATGCTGTTCTTATGGTAGACAGAGGTGTGATTAGTCACAGAACACGTCTCCACCGCTCTAGAGTCCAGCCTGCTTTACACCACTGCATCTGATGCATTGCACTGGGTCATGTAAGGCTTGGATGCTCTGCCATGAAAACCCAATCCATCAAGCTCTATATGCTCTGTTCTTGAGCTTATCTGAAGTTCACATGAAGTTTGGAGGTCTGTAGTGCTCGACCATGACTGCGTACACTTCACTGAGCCCCTGAGAGCGACCATTCCTGTTGGCAGAGGCAGTCTGGACGCCAGGTGCTTGTTTTCCTACACCTGTGGCCACAGCACAGACTGGAACACCTGAGTTCAGCGAGTTGGATGGGTGAGGGAATACTTCTGGCAACATAGCTTTGAAGCACTTTGTAGTCTGTTAACCAAGTGATGGTAAAAATTCATGTTCATTCTCAGCTGCTTTCGTTTGTGATAAATGGAGGTCCACAGTCTGGCAGTGTGTTCATGTGTACCTGGTACTACAACAGAAACATCCGGACTTGTCTTTGTCATAGACTGTACATAAAAGGTTGACATCACAAGTGAAGCAAGTAAGAAAGGCCTTTAAAGCTGCCCTATTTCTACAATAGAATAGAATAGAACAGAATAGAATAGCCCTCTATTGTCATTGCACGTGTACAAGGAAATTGTGGGTGCTCCACACTAACTGTGCACAATTAAAATCTAAATAGTAAGACGGCAAATATGAGAAACAGGAGGAATAGATCCAAACCGAGAGAGCGGCACAGAGTAGAGAGACTCCTGGGACAGGCTGGCTTAAGCTTTAACGTTGTTCCTTCTTGGCCTCGTCTTTCTTCAATACCAGATTTTAATCTCAGGAAACTTTCTGGAAAATGAATAAAAGAATAAAAGTGTCTTTTGGACCCCAGCATGTCTCTGAATGTTTCACTGCTGCATGTATGAAATGCTGTATGTGCTGTGGAGTTTCCGTAGACAGACTTGCAGAGACATTTACTGCTGAGCTGATTACTCTCTGCTATCATCTAATAGACACGATTTGCAATGAAACAAAGCAGAAGTGTCAGTTTGCTGCTGCAGTGTTCACAGACAGCAGCTGTTAGCGCGCATGTTTGAAGCTCCTGCTGCCCTCTGCTGGCATCACACGTGTTTGTGTGGTTTGATTATGTGGAGTTGTTACATATTCAACATCTGAGTATGCTGAACGTTACTGATATTGATAGAAATCAGTGGGACATAATCACCTGAACTCTGATCCTCTCATGTCTGCAGAGTCTAGAACCAGGGGTGTACCCGGGGTTTACCCCCCTCTGTCCGCCTGAACAAACCACTCCTGTTCAGCCACGCAACCCTGAACAGGAGCAGAGAGCAAAAGCTATGAGAGGACGGATGTAAGTACTGCGACTCTTTCTTCTACTTTGAACTGCTTCGAATTTAGAAAATGGAGGGTAGCCTTTGTTCAACAAAAGCACAGCCATAGCTCAGCTGATCTCAGTACTGCTTGATCCGGTCCACAGATGCTATGCTATGCACAAGCCACCTCCACCATAGCACTTCATGCTCCACCTGACCTAATCACTGCGATATCTGTTGGCATCACTGCCAGCTCTTTTCTGCATCGACTCTCGATTCTGTTCAGTGTAACTTACTACAGACAGAATTGTCAATCTTATCTTAGAGTCCAGGTATTGAAGGTGGATGAGTTTAGCTGGGGGTCAACCAAGTAACAGACAGTGCACAAGAGATGAAGAGGCTGGAGGCGGGTGGAGATGAGTGTCAGGGGTGATTTGTGACAGGATAGCAGCAAGAATGAAAGTGAAACTTTGCAACATGGTAGTGACAAAAAACATGTGGAAGCTATAGGGGGCGGAGCTGAAGATGCTTAGAGTGGGAGTGACCGGGAGGGACAGCAATGAGTAGATTACAGTCTCCACTTCACCCTAAGGCAGGGGTGTCCAACTCCTGGGGCCGGTGTCCTGCAGGTTTTAGATCTCACCCTGGACACCCTGCACGCCTGAATCAAATAATTAGTTCACTCCCAGGCCTCTGGAGAACTTCAAGACATGATGAGGAGGTCAAGGACACATCTAAAACCTGTAGGACACCGGCTCTGGAGGCCTGGAGTTGGACACCTCTGCCCTAAGGAGAGAGTGAGATGGAGGCAGATGTTGGAACCTCAAGAAATAACCATGTTTACAGTGTGAAGCATTCACTAAGGCACTAGTCCTCTGTTGCAGCAGGAACAGGGGCTCTGTGTTAACTTAGCTGTTTTTTAACACAGGTTTGTTCTGAACGAGCTGATTCAGACAGAGAAGGACTATGTCAAAGACCTGGGCATCGTGGTGGAGGTGAGTGCTTCTGCAGAATCATTCTGTGCAGCGGTCTCCTGCCATTTAAACAAAGGGCATCAGGAAATGTACATTTGGGTTCAAAAGTTATCAACACTTTGACTGCAGGGGTTCATGAAGAGGATCGAGGAGAAGGGCGTCCCAGACGACATGAAAGGAAAAGACAAAATCGTGTTTGGGAACATCCACCAGATTTATGACTGGCACAGAGAGTAAGTCGAGTGTCGGCTGGAAATGATGGCGTGAAGGACGGGGCGAGGGGATAGTAACAATCTTTATCTGTCAGTTTCTTTGTAGGAGAACTGGAGAAATGCCTGGATGACCATGAACACCTCCCTGAGCTCTTCATTAAACACGTTAGATAAACACTGTGTCGTGATTGTGTCACCGCACTAGAGTACATAATCTCTGCTGTCCCAGTGATTTGCTCTCTAATCAAAGCTCCTTTGTCTTTACAGGAGAGAAGGCTCCACATGTATGTTGTTTATTGTCAGAATAAGCCCAAGTCAGAGTTCATCGTGGCAGAATACGACACGTATTTCGATGTAGGTGAAGCTTTGATTCTCTTCATCATTAGCAGAAGGTGTGCAGTGTGATCTAAACGGCAATGTTCTTTTACATTCATCCTCGATATGAAATGCAGGGACGACCCTCAATTATCTGGACTGATACTGTCTTTGTGTGATGTTATTGGGAGTATTTGTGTGAAGTGGACAAAAGGACACACAGTTCGGTTATTTCTCTTCCAGGGAATCCAACAAGATATCCAGTCCAGGTTGTCCATCAGTGACTTCCTCATCAAACCAATCCAGAGAATCACCAAATACCAGCTTTTACTGAAGGTGACAGACACACACAGTCTCTCCTTATCACAAAAGAAAATGCCAAAGAGCATAACTGTGCTCCACATGTTACTCTAACCTGACTTACTGTCCTTTACATTATCGTTTACATTTCTGCATATTGAAGCTTTAACATTTCTTTGGCCAAGAGGAACTGTTTTTGTTGTTTTTACTGTTTTTGTTGTTTTTACTGTTTTTGTTCTTTTTACTGTTTTGCTGTTTTTCCTGTTTTTGCCGTTTTTGTTGTTTTTGCTGTTTTTACCATTTTCCCTGTTTTCCCTGTTTTTGTTGTTTTTTACTATTTTCGCTGTTTTTGTTGTTTTTGCTGTTTTTGCCGTTTTTGCTGTTTTTGCCGTTTTTGCTGTTTTTGTTGTTTTTCCTATTAGATGAAAGTGTTGATGGTAGCAAGCTTGGTTAGACTGATTAAAGTTGGGCTTCTCTTCTTCCTCAGGATTTCCTGAAGTACAGCTCAAAGGCAGGAATGGACTGTGAACAAATTGAGGTAAAAATGTAAAATGCTTTTCAATCCGGCATGTTTGTGCTGACACATCCTCCTCAAATGAAAAACTATCTAAATATCTCTGTCCATGACTTTTACAGAAAGCAGTAGGTTTGATGTCTCAGGTCCCGAAACTGTGTAATGACATGATGAATTTGGGTCGGCTGCAGGGATTTGAGGTAAGTTTTGTGGGTCTTCACAATGACATGTGCTGCACACACTATGACATGTGTGGCGTGCTGTAAAGCCTAAGAGAGTAATGTTTATATCAACCTGGTTTCTCTGCAGGGGAAACTGACCAGTCAGGGCAAACTGCTGCAGCAGGAAACCTTTTTTGTTACGGTGCAAGACGCCGGCGTCCTGTCCCGCTCGAAGGAACGACGAGTCTTCTTGTTTGAGCAAATCGTGATCTTCAGTGAGCTGCTGAGAAAAGGCTCGTCCACACCTGGCTACCAGTTCAAAAAGAGCATTAAGGTATTACAAAAAGTGGGTTAAAGGTCTGTGATCAGTGAACTGGTTTAATCTCATGAAGAACACAAAAGCTCACACATGTCCTGACTTCAGTCTTTAAAACCAGGTTTTCATCCACATTTGATCATGTTGGACAAAATCATTGGAGAGCACAGAGGAGCGTGTGTGTAGATGGTTGCAATAAAGCTGTGCCCATGTTTGTGTGCATGCAGTATGTTCATCACAAAGACACAGCAGACTGTGCTTTAAATGAAGTGTATATGAGCAGGTCATACTGAAGAATGAGAATATACATAGACCTCCTAGCGAGCTCCTCGAACCACGCCCTCCTCCAGGCTCCTGCAGGAGAGGACCTGGTGGTTTGTGAGATGGTGTTGGTCTAACACTGTAAACTATCTTTTCCACGCAGGTATCCTACTTGGGTCTGGAGGACAGTGTGGATAATGATCCCTGTAAGTTTGTGTTGCTGAGTCGCGGATCATCGGAGCGTTTCACCCTGCAGGCAGCCAATGTTGACATTAAGCAGGTCTGGGTCCAACACATTCAGGAACTCCTGGATGCTCAAAGCAACTTCCTGTCTGGTGAGGAAACACTGAGGGTCTTTGTGTTCAGCAGAATATTACTTTGTTTTCACTCGAGCTTCACGTTTGTGAAAGCACGTTACAGGTTTTTTGTTATTTTCTCCTAAATTTTAAGGATGCTACTTTTAATTTTTAACCTAGCATGCTTTAAAAAATGATTGTACAAACTGGCACATAAACGAGAAGACGGTTGCTTTCTGGCTGTGGTGCCTTCACCACCTAAAATAAAACTGCCATGATCATAAAGTAGTTTAGGTGGAAACATGATAAAGCCTGATATCTGTCACTTCCTTAAGCTCGTTCCCAGAAGGTAGGCAACCCATCCAAACAAAAATAACGACCCCCGTGTTTTCTGTCTTACCTTTAACAGAAATGCAGTTTGTGTGTGTCTATAACAAAATGTCCTGAAATATGTCCCCTGTTGTACTTAAATGAGCCTCATCTAAAGTGCTTTTTCTGTCTGCAGCTCTGCAGTCACCCATCGTCTACCACAATCAGCAGAGTGGAGGAGGCAACAGCTCATCGCTGACCAGAAACCGCTCGTCCTCAGGGAATCAAACTACCGCGTCCTCTCACAGCCGACCCTCGTCAGTGGTCGGCCTGTGCAGTACGGAGAAGGGGAAGAGCCAAGTCAAAGTCTCCACCTCTAATGGAGGTTCATCGTGTTTTGACTCCATGGTGAGTGTGTGCAGGTTATATGATTATCAGCTTACCTTTATTTTTTAAAATTTGTTTACTTTCAATTTGAGGATTTTATTGTTTTGTTTTTGGTTATTTAGTTTTAGAATTTTGTGTTGGTGTCATGTAAGCACAGCCTGCAGACTGCACCAGGCACTCGCTAAACTGGGGCACTAAACAGACTTTTGTAAGTCAAAATGTAGGCTACTGCAGGTGTAGCAGCAGTTCAGTTTGTGTGTATGTCGGCTTGTCCATGTATGATTTGTTCTAATAGCCCAGTTTTCATCCATACGTCCTGGTTCCTCCATACCTGACACAGACTTTGTTAAACCAGTAAAAGCTGGTATGGCTTTGGTTATGAAGGCCGGCCCGTGGGGTCTGATCCATAGCTCCACCATGATAGGGGCAACAATGGGCACGTGAGCATCAGCACATCAGTCTGATGAATCACGTTTTCATTGACACAACATCAGTGATGCACGTGTCCAGGTGCATGTGCATCACTGATAGGGAACACTTGGCACTGTGGGAGGAAGGCAAGCCGAGACCGTTGCTTTGGGCAGAACCTTGGATACGTATCACCCTCCTAAGTGCTGTTGCAGATCGTGTTTAGCACTCTCTGCAAACAGCTGATCTAATAAAGTTTCTAATATACCATCAGGTGTGTCAACGATGCTCAATGCAGCCACAGATGAAGCACCTTAGTTTGGGCTTGAAACCAAGTATAACTACAACTAAACTGCTTTTGTTCATTTTTCTTCTCGTTGTTTTGACTCGGCTCCCCACTCCTCATCTCCTCGTCACAGTATTGGATCAGTTATGCCTCTTTGTTAATTATTATTATTGTTCGTAATAATAATAATTTGATTTTAATAAAATGAGCGTGTGCTGCTGATTCAAGTAATGAAACCTGTGTTCACTGCTGTTCTCCCTCCACTCCTGCTCCTCAGCCCTGAACTCCCTCTGCTCCTCCTCAGGTTGACACCAGCTGTATCACAGCATTTCTGTTATCCAGCCCACAGTCGCTCCTTAACCTCATCCTCAATTGTCCACATTGTGTCTCCTCCATCCTGCTCCTCTTTTTCTTCTGCCTTTCCTTTCCCTCGTCCTGTCGGCCATTCTTTCCTTCCCTCCTGTCTGCAGGACAACAACGACATCACTTCCACCATGCTGGTCACTCAGGACTACTCGGCGCTCAAAGAGAATGAGATCTGTGTCAGTCAAGGAGAGACCATTCAGGTCATGGCCACCAATCAGCAGAACATGTACCTCGTTTACCGGCCAGCCAACAGCCAGTCGCCTGCCGCGGAGGGCTGGGTGCCAGGACACGTCTTAGGCCCGCTCACAAAGCCCATTAAAGACTCTTCTTCTACTTGCTCCTTCTCAGCAGCCGTAACAGATGCCAACAACATCAAGTAAGTCCCCACCCACCCCGCACATCTTTCCCTGCAGACTGAAGCACTTCTGGTTGGGCTTGAAACCAAGTATTCGGATTGAATGAGAGGACTAAGCTGACAAAGGTCTGTCTAAATGTTTTTGTTCTGACTCTGTTTCCATCACCAGCTCCTCAGCTGTCTGCGTCCTGTGTTTAAAAAGCAAACACAAAAAAATGTTGGACTTTGTTTTTTCTTGTTTTGAAGGTACAGAGTTGTTCTCTAACTGTCCATCAAGCTGCTGCAATGACTTTGATTTCTTGAGCCGGTCACTTATCGGCTCTGTGGCGATGACGTTTAAACAAAAAAGCAAAATAAAAAAAGGTTTTGAGGCTTGAAACTAACAAAAGAAAGAAAAACAGCTGAAAACTTCGAGGTGATTCCCACAGAAATAGACAGGATAGAAAAAACTTGTACCTTGTTCCTAACTGGAAACCAGAAAGTGAAAAGTACTCGTGTGGAGCTAAAACCGACTTTTTACTTCAGTTCCTAACACTCTGCATTTTCTTCTGTTTTTGTACTTTTTTTTAATTTTTCCTGCTTTCTGTAAAAAAAACAAAAAAAACAAAACCCTCACCTCACCTGGGTCATTGCGGTGGCCTCAGTCCTGTTCTCCTCACAGATGTTTGTTTATTCCTCTTATTGTTGCTGCCCTACTAATAATTATTTTATTCCACGGACAAAGTTGTATTTAATTCTTTTTTTGTGTTGAATTTATGTTGGCAGTTCACTGTACAGAGTAAAAACATTGACTGAGGCTCTACAACATTCCTGTTTTTGTTTTGTTTGTTTGTTTTTGTTTTGTTTTTTATCTAAAAAAAACCTTTTGCACTATTTATGACAAGAAAAATATGAATGAAGTCAGGCTGTGCAATATGTTTGGTGGCAAGGTCAGCGTTGTACTCTTGGTAGTCTATTAATAATACTGATTTTAAATTTGTTAAATAAACCTTTTGGACTTGAGCACGAGTTAACAAAGCGGTGTCAAGGTGAAGATGTTTTATTTGACATTTGGCTGATGATGGGTGACGGTTTGTAGTAGTTTTTAATATTTGTAAATAAACCACAACAGCAAATGTGAACCCGAGTGTCTGCCTGCATGTGTGTTGCACTGTTATACCATTTTAGAAGTAAAGCTCTCTTAAAATGAGCCAAACATCATCACAGAGACACGTTTTTGTGACAAAAATAAATGTAACTATCAACAGATATTAGCAGAACGTGAAGAAGTAACGACGGCGATCTCATATCCACACCTGAAGCTGAAATACATACATAGAAATACTACTGTACAGAATACCACTTTGAGTCCAACCTGAGACGTGTCAGCATTGTTTAGGTTGGTGTACAGGAGAGAAAGAAGTTCATGGACACAGAAATATCAGACTAGTTCAAAGTTGTCATCCAAGCAGACTTTGTGCTGATTCCAGCTCTGCTTATTGGGAAGTTTCTAGATGAAAGATTTCTGTCAAGGTTTTAATGCCAAGAACCAAAAATCCCCACAGCCACACTGTAGATTCAGGTATATAAACCCTTTACAGTGTTTTGTTCCTGTTTGGTTAATTTCAGCTTTTTGTGTATGTTGTTACATTTGATTTGTTTCGTTTCAGTTTTCACTAACCTCATGGTTTGACACTCCACAGAAGCTACAAACTCTAAACTTAAGTGGTTTAAACTTCAGAGCTTTGAATAAATGTAGCAGCATTTGGTAACTGAACAAACTGTAAAGCCTTTAAAATCTTCTCAGAGAATAACTGTGGTTTATTCTCAGCTGCTTTTTCGCCTTGATGTGTTTTTAGGAGTTGAGCTAACTTTGCACTGGAATAAATCAAAATGACTAACACAAGGTTAGAGGTGAACAAAAGAGATTTATGTAACTTTCCTTTTTAAGCTGCATCGCATCGACGTGGACGGGAAGTCCTACTAAGCATAACTATGTATTTAAAGTTTACAGGAACTATAAAAGATTGAATTTAACAAATTAAAAACATCATTGCACTAATTCTTGTACATAGAAGTCCAGCTGTGTCAATAAAGTCCGAACTCTCTGTCATCTGCTCTAATGTTCGTCTTCATGAACCAGAAGAGTCTGGCTGCAGATTCAGGCACTGGTCCTGTCTGGATTTTCTCAGACTCGAGGTCTACAGCCATTCTTTCTGTTGAAAAGTGTTTTTTGTTTGTTTTGGTTATTGCAGTAGCCTACATTGTCTTGTTTGTAGAGAATGTATTTTTGCTTTGTTGGAGGCTAACATCCAGAAGAGCAGTTTTGGGATGCTTCGGGTACTTCCTAAAAGATTTCCAAATGTATGTAAACATCTTTCAGTCTTACAATAACTCATAAACTGAAAACAACAAGTCCAAGATGACAAAAGTTCAAACCCCAATAGATAATTTATCGATACTATTGTGGTCTTGTCTGTATCTATTCACCTTATGAAGCATTACGTCATGTCATAAGCTGTCACCATAGCAAACTGACAGGTACGTTGCTGCTGCAGCCAGACTCAGCTGGACACCTCTGAGCTTCACTTTGATTGGCTGGTTGATGTTTGTTGTTCCCATACTGTACAGGAAGTCTCTGTCGTGGAACACACTGCGTGCCAGGAAGCGCGCTGAAGACAAGGATGCCTTCTCAGTAGGAGTCAAAGGTCAGGAGAATGGCCTTCTCCGTAAGCCCAAAGAAATCACTCCTCCTACCCCGTTCGCCTCGTCCGACCCTGTGGTGAAAGGCAAAGTGAGTAAAGCAGGCCGACGGTGCGCACTGGTGATGTTATGTGTGTGCCAAAACCCCTCGCCTCCACCGCCCCACTCGGTTTATGTTCTTTGTCCTAACCTCAGTATGTGTGCGTGTGTGCAGACACCTGTAGACACACACACAGGTGGATGTGTCTCAGTGGGACTCCAGGAGTGGTTCTCAACCTGCATGATGCATGAATTCAGACTGATCGGTTTTATTTCTTGGATCACGTCTGTCCTACGGGACCACGATTTCTCTATTTAAAACCCTTACTGGCTGCAGCTGATGGCGTTACAGAGTAGCACAATTACTGCCATCGACAAAATCTCGAGCATTGCATTGTGGGAGAGACTGACTAGGATATTTTGTGGAATCTTTGGAACAAATGATTGACTCAGAATTCAGTCAAAAGACCAGGAGTGACATACTGTTAAAGATTTTCTTGGAGTGGTAACTGGATATGCAGGAAGCCAAACATACATCACAGGTAAACTGTCAGTCATTTGCAGTATTGAAGAGTTATAAAGAGCTCTATATATAATATATATAACTATATAGATATTTAGAGCTTTAGCATATTCTGCTCTGCACATTAGCATGTTCATTTATGCTACATTACCCAGTATTAGCTTCTAAAAGTTGCTTTAATTCAAAGATTTTTCCCCCAAATTTTGTATTAACTGTTGAGGAATGGCAGCAGGTGTTATACATAATCATCCATTCAGAGGCTCAAAACTCGTTGGTTAGTTTGAACTGCCAGCAGTTTCATGGCCTTTTGAGGTCTGCAGCCTCTTTATTTTGTAACAAATGAAACTTGAGCTTTTCACTGTGAAAGAGGAAGTTATCATTAGGCTGAAAAACTAGACATTTTAAATATAATATAGACATAAAGTATTCAGAATGAGCTCAAACATGTGTAGCAGTAATGTTAATCTTTTAAACACTGATGTGTTGTAAGGTGTTTGTTTCCTAAAGGAATGGTTTGAAAAATAGAATAGAATAGAATTCAACTTTATTGTCATTGCACATGCACAGGTACAGGGCAACGAAATGCAGTTTGCATCCATCCAGAAGTGCTTTAGTGATATAGATATATTACAATATATATTAGCAATAATATAGATATGTGAGTATATTACAGAAATGGGTCTATTATGTTATAATGTACACGGTATGAAGTATGTTGTGAATATTCTATAACTATAAGTATGTACAGGCTGTAGTGAGTACAAGCTATGTACAGGATATGGACAGGATATAAATATGAAAAACTATACAGAATATGAAATAAATAACTTTACAGAAATCTGAGATATGCAGCTATACAGAAATGGGAACTATGCAAGTTATAAACAGTTGTAGGGTTAAAAATTATCGTATGTACAGAATGATTATTACAGAGCTATACAGTAGTGCAGTTAAGGTAAGTGAGGGTGTAGATAGTTTCTACAGAGGCTATAAAGTGCTGGTGGTTGTGAGTGGTGGTTCAGTCCATGTTATTATTGTGTGTTTGAGGGTACAGTTGTCCATTGTGGGTGTGTGTATGTTCAGTCCATGAGTTAACGTGGGTCAGATGTCAGGAGGCAGAGTTCAGGAGTCTGACAGCTGTGGGGAAGAAGCTGTTCCGGTACCTGGTGGTCTTAGTCCGGAGGCTCCTGTAGCGCCTCCCAGAGGGCAGGAGGGTGAAGAGTCCATGTGATGGGTGACTGGGGTCTCTGATGATTTTCCCAGCCCTTTTCAGACACCGCTTCCTGTAGATGTCTTTTATGGCAGGAAGTCTTCCGGTCCGAGGCAGAGCAGTTCCCGTACCAGACTGTTATACAGTTGGTCAGGATGCTCTCGATGGTGCAACGATAGAAGTTCACCAGGATGTCTGAAGACAGGTGGTTCTTCCTCAGAGTCCTCAAGAAGAAGAGGCGCTGGTGAGCCTTCTTGACCAGCTTGGAGCAGTTGGTCGTCCAGGTGAGATCCTCGGAGATGTGGACTCCCAGGAACTTGAAGCTGCTCACACGCTCCACAGCCGTCCCCTTAATGTGGATGGGTGGATGTGGGTCAGCATTCCTCCTGTAGTCCACGATGAGCTCCTTGGTCTTCTCGGTGTTAAGCAGAAAAATACTTCCACGACTTATTTTTTCAGCTAATAATAAATATTTTTCTGGTTATATATTTATTTCTTTAACAATAAACGTAATGATATTTCACAAATCTCCTGTCAGGAAGGAGTGCAGAAAGGTAAGACTGCCCATGTGGAGTACAGATCCAGTTTATCTTGCTAACAAGCGGAGGACGATGTCTTTGCTTGTGTGTGTGGCTCGTTTCCATCTGCACTCCACTGCCCAGAGCAGTGTGTCCACCTCCGTACTCGACCGTGGGGATGTTGTTACTTGGTTCATATTAAGGATTTCTCTTCATTGAAAATTCTGAGTTGTAGGGGATCAATTACTTATTTCAGTCAGTTACAGATCAATTTATGACTTTCATGTGTTTTTCTGGAATTTTGGTTGATATTCTCTCTCCATTAAAATGAAACTACCATTTAAATTAGAAACCATCCGTTTCTTTGGGAGCAATCTTGCAAAGAAATTCAGCATCATTATTTTCCCCTTTGTAATATCTACTTAGACCTTGTTGAAGTCAGTTGGCTAAATCCAAAAAGAGCAGTGAATTTTAGCTGGTCACAGCCTTTATACAAAATATACTTGTGCTCACATTAGAAATTAGTCTGACTTATTTGTTTTCCGCACATGCAACCACTACAGCTGCTCTTACAGTCTCTATGCCTATCAAATCCCACTTTAACCCATATGCACATACTGCCAGAAGTATTCACTCACTCATCCAAATCATGAATTCCAGGTGTTCCAATCACTGCCATGGCTACAGGTGTATGAAATCAAGCACCTAGGAATGTAGACTTTGTAAAAGAATGATCCGCTCTGTAAGTTTCAGTGTGCTACAGTGATAGGACACCACCTGTGCAAGAAGTCCAGTCGTGAAATGCTGAGGCACATAGTGTGCCAAGGTCACCACCTTTGGGAAGATGAGGAATAGCTCATGATTTGAAGTATATCACATCCTCTGCCATGGTACGGGCAATCTTATGGCATGGACAAGTGAAACCAGGTTACCACTGTTAAATAATGATGTGCTTGCTCATTGAAGTGGCATGATGAAATCTGAAGTGTACAGGGCAATACTCACACAGTGTGACTGACTCAAAGCATACTGCAAAAGCAAACCAAGTTTCTAATTGCACTGAAATTACCTTTAATCGCCAACCCAACCAGATGTTTTTCATTTTACTGAAGGCGAAACTGAAGACAGAGAAATCCACAATCAAACAGCAACTGCACTAAACACATAGCAGAGCATCTCAAGAGAGGAAACAGCGTTTGGTGATGTCCAAAAACAATTCTTATATGATTCATTTGGCAACTTAATTTTAAGCTTCTATTTTTTTAATTCCTGGTTTTAGCACAATTGGATACGTCATGTGACACTTTGTGTTGCATTTAATGCTCCTCATTCATTTTAAAAAGCTGATCTCCAGTGAACAGTGAAAAAACTGCGTCTCCAATCAGTGAACAGCTGCAGTTGATCTTGTTGGCAGTGATGTAGGCTGTGGCTGGATATAGACTTCAGCTGTGGTTCAGTGTGTGGTGCTGTGAATAATGTATGTCTATGCAAGACTGTTGGAAGATGCAGTGATTTTATGAAAGAATTTTTCTTATTAACATAGTATAATCAAAACGGAGCTGTTGCATGTATATGTATTACAACCATGCAACTTATGCTGCAGCAATAAGAATAATAGCACAGCCAAAGTCTTGAGTAATCATCAGCCACAGGCTGCAGTCATAATCACAGATGCAATCTCTTTTTGAGAGACTTAACATATCAGATATACATTGTCCTTTTGTATATATATCTAGCGTTATAATAATCTTATGAAGACAGATACTCTAGGATCCATCCATCGATCTTCTTCCGCTTATCTGAAGCTGGGTCGTGGAGGCAGCAGCCTAAGCAGAGAAGCCCAGGACTCCTCCTCCCCATCCACCTCCTCTAGCTTGTCCATGGGAACACCAAGGCCTTCCCAGGCCAGCCGAGAGATATAATCTCTCCAGCGTGTCCTGGTTCTGCCCTGGGGGGGCCGCCTGCTGGTGGGGCATGCCCAGAACACCTCGCCCAGGAGGCGCCCAGGAGGCATCCATGTCAGATGCCCGAACCACCTCAGCTGGCTCCTTTCAATGTTGAACACCTCCTGGATGGCCGAACTCCTCACCCTATCAGTAAGGGAGAGGCCATCCACCCTACGGAGGAAGCTCATTACTGCCACTTTTCTCCGCGATCATATTCTTTTGGTCACTACGCACAGCTCGTGACCATAGGGTGAGGGTAGGGACATAGATCGACCGGTAAATTGAGAGCTTCGCTTTTTTCTGCATCACTGTAGCCACAGCACTAATCACCACCCTGTTGATCTCCCTTCTCCCGTCACTCATAAGCAAGACCCCGAGATACTTAAACTCCTCCACTCAGGGTAGGAGCTCTTCCCTGACCAGGAGTGGGCACTCCACCCTTTTCCAGCTTAGGACCATGGCCTCACACTTGGAGGTGCTGGTTCTCATTCCCACCGCTTCAGATTCGCCTGTGAACCATTCAAGTGCAAGTTGGAGGCCATCACCCAATGAAGCCAACAGAACCACATCATCTGTGAAAAGCAGAAATGAGATTCTCAGACGACCCAAATGAAAGCCCTCCGCCACTTGGCTCCACCTAGAAATTCTGTCCATAAAGATTACGAACAGAATCTGTGACAATGGGCAGAGTCTATCACTCACCGGAAACGATTACTTATTGCTTATGGCTATGCGGACCAAGCTCTTGCAACGGCTGTTTAAGGATCAAATGGCCTGTAGCAATGGGTCAGACACCCCATACTCCCGTAGCACCTCCCATAGCACACTCTGAGGGACACGGTTGAGTTCCTTCTCCAAGTCCACAAAGCACATTTAGACTGGTTGGGCAAACTCCCATGCACCCTCAAATATCATTGAGTGGGTAAAGAGCTGGTCCAGTGTTCCACAACCAAGACGAAAACTGCATTGTTCCTCCTGTATCCGAGGTTTGACTAATGGATGAACTTTCTTTTCCAACACCCTGGCATAGACTTTCCCAGCAAAGCTGAGTGTGTGTGATCCTCCTATAGTTGAAACACAACCTTCTTAAAGATGGGAACCACCACCCTGGTCTGCAAATCCAGAGGTACCGCCCCTGATTTTCACGCAGCATTGTAGAGGATTGTCAATCAAGACAGCCCTATAACATTCAGAGCCTTCAGGAATTCAGGGCGAACCTCATCCCTCAGGGGCCCTGCCACCAAGGAGCCTCAGTGACCTCACCTGCGGAGAAAGAAGCCTTGTCCCCAGAGTCTGCTTCCTCCACGGAAGACATGCCAGTGGGATAAAGAAGATCCTCGAAGTATTCCAGCCGCCCGACAATGTTCTCAGTTGAAGTCAGCAGCGCTCCACCCGCACTATACACAGTGCAGGTAGAGCACCACTTTCCCCTCCTGAGTCGCCTGGCCATTTGCCATAATCTCTTTGAGGCCATCCGCATGTCTTTTTCCACGGCATCTCCGAACTCCTCCCACACCCAAATTTTTGCTTCAGCTACTGCCCAAGCCATGTTCCGCTTGGCCTGTTGGTACCTATCAGCTGCCTCCGAAGTCCCACGGGCTAACCAAGCCCGATAGGACGTCCTAGTGCCATATATACTTATAGACACCCTTAAGTTCAGACATGGTGTTCATTATTGACAAACAACAACAAAATGCTGCTCGGGTTCAGATCTCACTGTTGTTGCCCACATGAACGTTGAAGTTTCCCAGTAGTACAGCAAAGTCCACAGGTGGAGCATCCTTGAGCACGCTGCCCAGGGACTCCAAGAAGGCTGGGTGCTCTGAACCGTCGTCCAGCGCATAAGCACAGACGACAGTCAGGACACATTCTCCGACCCAAAGGTGCAGGGAACAAACCCTCTCGTCCACCAAGAGAAACACCATAGTACAGGCAGCAAGCCGAAGGGGATACTAGGATACTCACCCAGCATCTTTCACCAAGGGCAACTCATGACTGAGACAGAGTCCAGCCCTTCTCCAGGAGACTAGTTCCAAGCCGTGCGTTGAGGTGAGCCTGACTATACCTAGCCAGTACCGCTCAACCTTACGCACTAACTCAGGCTCCTTCCCCGCCAGTGACATTCTCCTAATTGCTAGTCTTGGTAGCCAGGGATCGGTCCGCCAGGGCCTCCACTTATTGAACCTGACCTTCCTGTGGGTGGTGGGCCTACAGGAGGATGGGCCCGTGTCCCTCTCAGGCTGTGGCCAGTCGGGCCCCATGTACTAATGCATGACCCAGTTTGCCAGTTTGCCATTGGAGACCCTAATAGGAGACAAAGCCTCCCGAGAACATAGCCTCTAGAATCCCTGGGACACGCACACCCCTCCACCACGATAAGGTAGCGAATCATTCTAAGAGTCGTACTGCACTCCCCAACCAAAGATTTTGGCTTATCGCAGGTTTAACAGTTTGAACATTTTCTGGTGATAAGGTTAGATTTACAGTCTTAAAGGACTGATTAGTAGCCTCAAAACTTCTAATTATCACTTAATGGAAAGACAAATGGTGGCAGTTTTACAGTGTGTCAGAAAAATCCAAAAGGACTCTCAGGTGAGTAGGATCTGAAGTGTCCACTGTAGCCACTGTTTTGCTCTCATTTTTTCTCATATTCTCAGAATCTTTCCTTTGTTCTCTTTCATCTCTTTTCATATTTGACATCATTTTTTCTGTTTTGGTTCTGCTCAACTTCGTCTGCATCTGTCCCCTCTCGTACTCTTTCCTCCTGTCGTTCCCGTTTTCCTTGTTTTTGTACATGTTTCACCTTTTTTATGTCCCATCTCCATTCTCTTACCTTTGACTTTTATGTGCCTCCATTCCCCTTTTATTCTTTTCCCTTGTTTCTTCCTCCACCAGGAGGTCCAAACTTCAGATGATTCAGATTGTGGTGATGACATTGACCCAAAGACGGGCATGGAGGTACCAGCTGTTCATTTTCATTGAAAAGATCTCTGACTCGGTGTTGAATACTTTTCTATTGAATTATTATATCAGCATTAGACAAACACTGTGTTGGAGACAAATGTGAGAGAATTTAAGAAGTTTAAAATCTGGAACTATTATGTATAAATTCATTTTATATAATACTGCTTCATATATGCTGAAAACTAATCCACATCTAATTATTTTCCAGCTTCTGAACCCAAACTTCATCCAGGAAGGTGAGACATACATAAGGCAGTTAATGCAAATTACATTTATTTATTCATTGAATAAGTTGTGTGACAAAGCAAAGAGGCTTCCAAATGCTTTTCACTACCACGGGAGTACAAGAAGCCCCAACTCCTATGTCAGTCTGGAACAGCAGCAAACCTGGTAATAAATGATGTGCTAAAATCAGCCTGATTATTCTGATCTGAATCGAGTGATTTGGCAAAACTGGTCATTATTTATGCTAATGCAGTATAACAGCAATGCAACAATTCCTTCTGAATACATGAGAGAGGTTTGAACTGTTCCCAAAAACTACAGAACTGAGCTGAGAATGCTTGAGGTCACACATGCCTTCGCTCAGAAACAACAACGTGATAAACTGTGGACATTTTAACTAAGAGCTGAGGGGAACGTGGTTTGTGATGCGTTTTCTGTGTGCAGTGGCTCCAGAGTTCTTGGTCCCACTGTCAGATGTGGTATGTGCATTCGGAGAGACCGTAGTCCTCTGCTGTAAAGTCTCAGGACGGCCTAAACCTTCAGTCACTCTGAAGGGCCCCGACCAGAATCCAGTGACCAACAACAGCCGCTTCACCATAGACATCAGGTAACGAAGAGACCACGAGGAACACCAGATGTGTCCATGAAGGCTTTCCAGAGGACCATTTCAATGCTGCATTCAGATTCTTGTTTTTCCTCACCTGCTTCTCCTTCAGTGTTTTGACTTTTAAACATACAGTGGTGTAAAAGTGTTCACCCCCTTCCTGATTTCTATGCGTTTCCGATCATCAACCAGATTTAAATATCAGACAAAACTCACACAAGTAAAAACAAAATGCAGTTTCTAAATGAAGGTGTTTATTAAGGGAAAAAGACTAAACCCTCATGGCCATGTGTGAAAAACCTAGTAACTAAGCAGCAACAACTACAATCAACTGAACGTTTGGCAGTGAGTCTTTTGCATCGTGTTGGAGGAATTTTGGCCCACTGATGCTTGTAGAATAATTGTAATTGAGCCATCGGAGGGTTTTCAAGCACGAACAGCCTCATGCCACAGCTCCTCAGTCAGATTCAGATCAGGACTTTGGCTAGGCCACTCCAAAGTCTTCATTTTGCTTTTCTTAAGCCATTCAGAGGTGGACTTGCTGCTTTGGATCACCGTCCTGCTGCAGAACTCAAGGGCACTTCACCTAGAGGTCACAAAGAGGTGGCCAGATGTTCTCCTTCAGACAGCAGAAGTCATGGTTCCATTTTCCACAGCAGCAAAACAGCCACAGACAATTACACTCCCACTACCATGGTTTACTGTTGGTACGATGTTCCTTTTCAGAAATGCTGTGTTACTTTTACGCCAGATGTGATCGGATGCCAATTATTTTTTCACACAGGAAATCAGGAAGGGGGCAAACACGTCTTCACACCACTATAAGTAGTACCCTCTATGAGTGCAGCCTTTTGATCTTTCCTCCTCTCTCCATACTCCTACGCACTGTGCAGGGATACAGGTGACATCTTGTTGAAAGTCTGTAATCTGATGCCTCAGGATACAGGAATCTACACCTGTGTTGCTGTTAATGACCACGGCACTGCATCCTCCTCTGCCTCCATCAAAGTCCAAGGTGTCGCACTTTGATTAACACTGAGGACCATTTGAGACGGTTACTGTTGATTTGGGGTTGACTATTTTTGTCTTGGCTTGCAGGTATCCCAGCAGCCCCAGTGAGACCTGTGGCTCAGGAGGCCAGCAGCACAGCGGTGATGATCCACTGGCTGCCCCCACCTTCATCTGCCCACTGTACTGTCAGCAGCTACACTGTGGAGTATAGACAGGAAGGTCTGTGTATTAGCCACTGGAATTGTTCTGTAGTGATGTTCAAACAGACTGACCTTTCCTCCTCTTTCACTCACAGACTCGTTCCTGTGGCAGCAGGTGGCCAGCAGCAGGGAGGAATGTGTGCAGATCGACTCTCTGATCCCCGGAGGTCACTATCAGTTCAGAGTTCGGGCCTCCAACCGCTGGGGTGTCGGCCCACCATCGGAGCCCTCAAATATGGTCACACTAGCCAGCAGCAGTAAGTCGCACGTGCTCTTAACAAAGAAAAGTAATGCATGCATGAGGATGCATTCAAGGATACCAAAAGGTATCCTTGAATGCATCCTAGACCTGAAGGTGAACAGTTTTAAAATCTCAAAGATTTGAAATTGAATTTGCCATCAGCTGGTGAGAGTATGACACACTCCACCCCTGGAAATATATCACAGTAGAGAGGAGTAAATGAAGAAGGTTGTTTGCTGGAGAGTGGGCAGGCAGGTGAGCCTCGGGTAAGTCCTGATTCCACAGACTCATAAAGCCTGAGCGCTGATCTGGCTGTGAGCTTTTCAGTCCAGAAAGGGAAGTAGGGGAGAACAGGCGAGGCACGCTGAAGCCGATTCACCACCATGTGGAAAATAACTGCTACAGCTTGTCCTTATTACACAGCACTGATGAGGCAATGAGCTGACCGGGCACCTCTGCCCATGGGCATAAACACCGGTAGATCAAGGCGAACCACCTCTCCACCTAAGAGTAAAGAAAGAGGAAATGAAAACAATTTCTCCACTAATGCTGACATGTTCAGGGGGAATTATCTTACTTATGTATTTGTTCTTTGTCCAGACTCTGGCTGTGATGGGACGGGCATTCATTGGAAGGAAAACTTTGAGTCAACCTTTACTGAGATCTGTGAGATTGGAAGGTAAAACGATTTCAGTCACAAATAACGTCTCTATCGAGCCAAAGCAGCCGGTTTTTAATGCAGTCTCACTTGCTTTGACCAGGGGACGGTTCTCAGTGGTACGGAAGTGTGTCAACAGGTCCACTAAGAAAGAGGTACTTGTTCCTTTTGTTTAACTTCTTAAAAATTAAACTTGATATTTTATCAGCTACTGTGAGATGCAGACACATTCAAGATGTAACCTGTTTTAATGATCGTATAGATAAACTTGATAATCTGTCTGTGTTTGCACAAACAAGCATTTTATTATCTGGCTGTAAATCCTTATAATCAGCTCTGCGCCACCTTGATGAAAAATCCACAATATGTCATCGTGCAGAGTGGTTTTGTCTCAAAACTTTAACTTCAGGCGGGGTGGCTGCAGCTCAGGAGGTAGAGCAGCTCATCAACTAATCGCTTGTATGTTGGGCAAGATACTGAACCTCAAGTTGGATGGAACTAGTCAAATAGATGCACCTCGGCATAGAAAAAACTATATTGCACGTTTAAGTGTTTTGCCTTTGTTCTCCACTAGGTGGCAGTGAAGTTTGTGAGCAAGAAGATGCAGAAGAAGGAGCAAGTGGCTCATGAGGCAGACATTCTGCAATATGTCCAGAATCACCAGCTGGTGTCATTGTTGGACACCTACGAGTCTCCCTCCTGTCTGATGCTCGTCCTGGAGCTGTAAGTCCAGTGTTTGGCTGCTGCACGGTTTTTTTATCGTTGTGTTTTTGCTTGTTTTTCACAACAAGTAGAGTTTTCAGCTGCTTTTAGAGCCCGCGTGGTTTGGTATGAACCAAACTAGATGGCTGTTACTTTTTAATAGTTTTCTTTTCAACTTTGCTCTCTTTGAATGTTTTCATAATGTTTACACTTTGTCAGCACAACCAGGACGAGCAAAGCAGAACAGCTGCTCCATAATGTGAACGTGTGACATCACCCATTCACAGTGAATGAGTTACAAAGCCTGCAGTGCATATTCACAGCTGTGTGTAATAGCGGGTCTACTGAGCGATTCATTCAACCACACAGTGCAGAAATCGAAACTTGTCTGTGTTTCCATGTTAGACTGGAGGATGGCCGCTTGCTTGATTATCTGGTTGCCCACGATGAGCTGATGGAGGAGAAGGTGGCCTTCTTCATCAGAGAAACACTGGAGGCCCTGGAGCACCTTCATACCTGTAGAGTGGCACACCAAGACCTGAAGGTGACTGCAGGTTTTTGTCACATATGAAAAGAAAAATATTGACAATTGTTGTTTGCTCACCTGTGTCTAAGTCATAACTCTGTTTTTGCTGTAGCCCGAGAACATCATGGTCAACCTCCATTCTCCCATGCCCAGTATTAAGTTAATCGATTTTGGCGATGCTGTCCAGTTGTCTGCCCACCGCCGATACGTCCACCTCTTGCTCGGGAATCCAGAGTTCGCTGCGCCTGAGCTGATCCGTGGCGCTCCAGTCTCCGTGGCCACAGACATGTGGAGCTTGGGTGTTCTGGCTTATGTCATGCTTAGTGGCGTTTCTCCGTTTCTGGACGAGTCACCGGAGGAAACCTGCATCAACATCTGCCGCCTAGACTTCTGCTTCCCAGATGAATACTTCTGCAATGTGAGCCAGGTGGCGAGGGATTTTGTGTCATCATTACTGCAGCAGGATCCCAGGAAGCGGCCGAGTGCTACTTCCTGTCTCCAACATCTGTGGGTGGGTCGTGGAGGTGGGGAGTACTCCAAGACACCACTGGACACGGCACGGTTGGCCACATTTATCGATCGAAGGAGACAACTGCACGACGTTCGGCCCATTATGAACGTGAAAGGGCTGGTGAGCAGCGGCATGGGAAACACACTGTGACGGGATCTGAACTCCCACAGGAGCGTTTGATTGTCTGTCTGTCAGTGTGTGCGTGGGACAGATGTTTGGTGCTGAATCCTTCCTGTGGTGCAAAATGGAAACTCTTGCTACTGCAGGACCACGATCAGTCCCCTGTAGACCAAAACCTTAACCCCAGAATATTTATTTATTCTATTACCTTGTTATTTGTTCATTTACCGATTTCAGCAATGACACATGAAGCGGGTCAGGTAAACTGCCAAAACACCACAAGAACCCAAAGAAGTCAGCTGGACTAAGGTGGAACTGGATGTGTTGGCTCCAGTTTACCGTCATGTAACTAACTGTTGGGACTTTGCAGAGGCCTCTCGCTGAGCTGAGGACTCGTGCAGTTGATCTCAGGCTCTGGGGCAGTGCTGCCTGTCGCTTAATAGAGGGTCCTGCACAAAGTGCTGTTTGAACTGCAGGTAGTTGGACAGTTGCAGGAACACCGTGATGAGCCTGTTTCTAGTATATTTGTAATCATTTCCTTTCAAGGACAGTGTCAGCACAGTGTCCTAAAAATTATATTTGCATATCGATAAACTTCAGCTACACTTTTGAAGGGAAATATATTTCCCCACAGTTTACTCGAATATGCTGGTATTCAAAATATCTTCTTCCTCTTCTCCAGTTTCTTTGTCACTTTTCTTTCCCCTGTTTTTACTCCTTTCAGGCAACAGATTACAGATTACTACAGAGGTGGGAAATAACAAATACTCTGTTACAGTACTTAAGTAGGATTTTCAGGTATCTGTATTTACTCCCTACATTTTCATAAAAGGCTCATTACTTTAGCTTTGACACATTTAAGGGGTAATATTATTATCATTTCACATCACTGCAGGCCCTCTGGAACAGATTTGAACCTAAATGTTGAGGACAGTAACATCGACGACAATCCTGTTACGACAAGAGGCAAAAACATATCAGTTATACATCACACATACATTAATAGCTCTACTCGGGGGGTAAAGTGGACCGCAACAAAAAACATTTTTGGTGTAGATACCATGAGCTGCGATGCACTTCAGCATGTAGCTAGCACTACAGAAGAGGAAGTAACGATGTTTTAACTGGCAGATCATTTTAAATGTACCTTTAAACAACTCAACAAATATAAACACACAAAGTGTTTGTGTGCAGTGTGGACAGCAAGTACAGCTGCTTTGTTTCCCAATGAATGCGTTCACTGAGAGATGGAGAAATGTGAAAAAACTAGATTGGAAATTACATTTAAATGTAGTTTTGAGTTTTTGGATCCAGCCGTTTGTTTTCTCACACATCTGCAAAACAAATCAAAGGATTCTGACTTTGTGTGCATGAAAGAGCAGCTTAGTGCTGAGTCGGTTCATCTACAGCACTGTGCTTAAGTTTAAAGTAGTGCACGATGTTTGCCTGCTGCAGAGAACCTGTTGCGTTCATGCTCACTGTTACATCGGCTGATGCTGGTTGGACTCCCTCACTGACTTCCATCTTTGTGCTACAGAGGGAGTGTAAAACAGCCTTGTGAGTCTGTGTAATCTCTGCTTACATCTTGTTAATTCAGTTGGTTAAATTCACAAAGAGCGGTACATTTTAGAGCAGCAGCAACACAAGTCAGTCGATCACAGCCTGTAGACAAAATGTACACAATCAAAATGAATGGAGCTGATGTTGGTTTCCCCTCACTCCAGCCGTACAACTGATCTGAGAGTTTCACACCTGCCAAATCCCACTTTAATCCCCGACTATGTTCTTGTACTATTTAGGTGTTTCAGCAGTCACGAGGCTCAGTTTACATTTCTGTGCATTTTCACTTTTACTTGAGTTAAGAAGTTTAATCAGCAGTTTTCAACACGAGTGTCCATCGTTCTCCTAAAGTGACGGCTGTCTGTGGTTTTGCCACCTCTGCATATTTGATGACACAGTATTTGTGACTCACTCAAGCTAGAAACTGATAAAGTGTTACCGAAGCATCTGTAAGGATCTAAAACTTTAAGTATGGACGATGTTTCTTTGTTTTTCTAACATGACTTCATCACACATGCATCAGTATGTTGTGTGATGCTGTTACTTACATGGAAAAGTCTCTCCGCAAAGAAAAACGATGCGTAGAATTATAATTTATGGAGAAACTGTTACCTGTAGCTGTCGTATAGGCCACATGAATAAGGACTGCACTTTTCTATGATCTACCTTTAATTTATTAAATGTTTATTTATTTCAGGACTGAACTAAGGGTGGTGTAATATTTGCTCTGGGGACCTAGAGCAGTCCGTTTACTCGACACATGGAGTTCAGAGGATGCCTAAACCTACTGAACTAAACGAGTGTGACTGTACAGCCGTGTAGCAGCAGACTCTGACTGAACTGTAGTGAATGTGCTGGACTGTCCTGAACCACAATAAACGGAGTTAAAATGCAAACATGTTGGCATTACTTCAAGGAAGATCAAACAGCGTCTGGATCGCCGCCTTCTGTGGTACATATGGACGACTACCGGACGTTAGCAGGATGCACCATGGACACAGTTTGCATCAGTGTTTACAGATTCTTTGTCCAAAAAGTAGGTAGTTTACAGACTAGTAAATACAAATCAGGAAAGACCTGCATGTAAATCACCAGTAATGGTTTAGAAATCAGGTTACAAAACTGTCTGTTTCTGTAAGTAAAGCCTGTGACATTTGGTGTGAAGGTGGGAAACTCCACCCTGAAGTCTGTTTTGTTGTATGTTTGTTTACCAGTCACTGTGGTGAATAACTGTAGTGGTTGGATCTCATTCATTCAGCTTGTAAATGTGCTCGTGCGGCTGCAGACCCTTTGGATGAAGTGGCCGCTGTTCCTGGGAGGCAGACGTTTACTGATGAATGTACTTTCTTGTGGAATGTGCTCTGTCGTCTGCTTTCACCCACTCGCCACACTCCCCGTTTTTCATCCTCAATCTTCCTCTAAGCATTTAGTGTCAAACAACAGCAAAGCTCATGTTCATGCTTGGATACTAAATGGTCCACAGGAAGGGAATTCGTCTTTAGAAGCAACTTTCATATCGGACGTCTGGTAAAATATTACCAAGTGTCTGTCACTGCAGCTGCAATCGATTCAGGTGTGTCCGAGTGCTGTTTTTCTTTTTTTACCACTCTCTCTTTCTAGTAGAGATTCTTGCTGTCTTATTGTGGACTTGTTGGTCTTGTTCATTATTTGAACTAAAAATAGCAGACTTCCCCAGTTTTTTCGACCTCTCATGCAAAATAAATCAATCAATAAAGAAAACCGTTTCAAGCTGTGTCTTTAGGAAAGGTGCTCGATGAGGTCACACAGACCGACTGGTCACTCGGGAAAATGAGTGTGGCCGACACTCATTTTCCCGAGCGGCTGTTAGAGATGGCTGGCAGTTATTAAAGTTGGTCGCCACAGTCACCAGGTATTCCAGGTATTCCAGGTTTCCCAGGTATTCCAGGTATTCCAAATACAGCAGGCAACAATTCCGTAACCAAAATAAATGAATCCCACCTAAAAACCTTCGGATAGAAGACAGGTGGCCGCAGAAATACAAACAAGTTTAAAGCACTTTGAGGCAACTGCTGTTGTGATGAGGTGCTGCATAAATAAAACTGGATTCAGTTGACTTCATGACTGAGCCGGTGATGGTGAAGGTAAGAATAAACTAGCTGATGTTGCTCACCTGTTTCATGCCTGCTCTACGTATCCCAGCGTTGTTGTTAACATATGTCCAGTCCTGTACCCTCAGAACAGCGTTGTGTGCAATAATTGCAAAGATGAGATGATGGTGTAAAATAACTCGTGGCTGCACTGACATGTATGTACTGCTGTTCTAGTCTCGGTGACTTACTGGCTCTTTTTGAACCAACTCACATTTACCCATACTGTCTGTTAGTACTTACAAAGTTATTAACTAAGTTTGATAAATAATACAGTTTAATTAATTAAAAAAAGAAATGTAAACTCACCTAACCGAGGTGGAGGGGTGTGTGTGTTGTTTGGGTCCTTGATAGACTCTAGCAGGCAAACTGGTCCATGGTGAGAGGCCAGACACCCATACGGAGGGCAAAAAGTCAGGGGCCAAATGCCCAGGTTCACTGTGGCCCCACCCTGAAGGCAGGCATGAGGAGGGACTGGACCTCAGCCCATGCATGTGGGAGTAGTTTTGTCAGGCTTTTGACCGAGACTGCTTCAGGTCTGCTTCAAACTGATTCTGCCAAACTGTCAGGCGACTCGGGAGAGAAAGCCGTGCTCTACGCACACTTCTGACCTCAAAATTATCTCTAGTTTTTGCAGAGGATGTGATTCTGCTGGCTTCATTAGGCGGTGGCGTCCAGCTTGCACTGGAATGGTTCACAACAGAGTGTGAAGCAGTGAGAATGAATTTCACCTTCAAGCCTGAGGCCATGACTCTCAGCTGGTGAAGTGTCCATACTGGGTCACAGTTGCTAAACTGAGTTACTTAAACTGAGTTTAAGTATTTCCTGGTCTTTTTCATGAGTGAGGAGAGGAGAAGTGGGATGTTGGGACCGTGTCTGTAGTGATGCGAGGCGGGTCCAGATAGAGCTGAGCATTAAACCTGGGTGAGGCGTGTTTCAACCTAAGGAAGCCCCGGGGTAGACCCGTGCTGGAGAGATCATATCTGTGACCTGAGCAGAGGGAGGTCTGAGCTACACAGGCTACTGCACCCATGATTTGGCCCAAGATGGATGGATAGGTGTGTGTTTTGATTGACCAGAATCTGGGTTTAGGTCTTGCACATTTATAAACGGATCATTGGGAGAATAAAATAGCCAGAAGGCAAAAGGACAGATCAGGAACTCGTTAGGGTTATAAGTGCAATGTGCAAATGTTGGAACACTGTGCAAAATATGGAATCTGAACTGAATGCAATGATCTGTAAATCTCATGATCCAACGTCTCCTTCAAAATGGAGAATAAAAATGATATCCAATGATTAAACTGAGAAACTGTAGCAGTTTAAGGAAAAACTTAGGTCATTTTTAATTTGGTGGCACCAACATGTGTCAGAAAAGTTCAGACAGGTTCATGTTTACCGCTGTATGGCGTCCCCTCTTCTTTTAACAACGATCCATAAACGTCAGGGACCTGAGGAGACAAGCTGCTGGACTAGTGGAAGAGCAATGCTGTCTCACTCCTGGCTAATATAGGATTCTAGTTGCGTAACAGTCCTGGATCTTCTCTCTCTTACTTTTAAATTCACGATGTGGCAAATTAGTCTTCATTTGGTTAAAGGCCCCTTCTACAACAAATCCATGCTGTTGTAACAAATGCAGCATGCAGTTCAGCATGATCTTGGTTAAAGATTCACTGGAAAAGATATTGCCTGTATGGGAGCTTATGCTGGCCTTAAACCTGCACATACCTTTCAGCACTGATGGTGGCTTTCCAGATGTGCAAGCAGCCAGTTCCAGGTACGTTTGCACCTCTATGTCATCAGAGAGACAAGCTCTAAAACTGAGTGCTGGTAACAAGCAGCGAAGCTCCAGCACCTCATTGTTTTGGAGAACATGGTGTCCATATTTTTTCTGAAAACAATAAAATCAGATTTTAAATGGCTTTGGTCCAGGAATGACTGGTGTTTGTGGATTTAACCTGTGTTTGTGGGTGACAAAGGGAGCTATGTTCACACGTTTCTGGAAGTATTCCTGAGCCCATGCAGTGAATCGTGTGTCTGAGGGTCCAGACTCTGAGAATAATCTAAAAACAATAATGTATTGTAAATGATGAGTTATTCTTTTTAAATTTACACTGAGGAACATTAAATTTACTTAGTCTTCATGTAGTCGAGCACTCAGGGTGTTCTGAAGCCTAACCTGGCCTTAAAAACGTGATATGTTAGAAATTCTATATTTGAGCTCAGTGAGGTGTTTGTTTCGTGTTCCACGTGTTCAGTGATTCCTGTAAAGACGACCATTCTCTGCCGTGCCTGGACGGTTTGAAGTAAAAACCACAAACCCAGTATTTCATCATCTGTGTGGACTCAAATTGATACTCAGTTCACAGCCTGTAAACTTTATAATATAAACATATGTAAATATATAAATGAGACATATATTGAAAACATGACTGAATTTATCACTAACTAGACAATAATTAGCTGGCTTAGCATAGTTATTGCTAATGATTGTATTGAGTTATGAGTTCTGGCTAGCTTCCACAGCAAGCCTTTGGTCTTGTCTCTCGCCTCTCACCCACAGCCTCTCCACTGTCGCCAAATAGCTCGCTCATATGGGGTCGTCTGATTGTTGGGGTTTCTCTCTGTTACTGTGGAGAGCACCTTGATGTGACTACTGTTGAGATTTAACTCTTTATAAGTAAAATAAAATTGAATCAAAGTAAAAAACACACACATATAATTCTTTAACCAAAGGGGTGATTGAAAAGTCACTGATCTGGAAGTGCACCAACAGTCAACGGGTTCTTCAACCTTTCCAACTGTACCTGATGTGTACAGTAGCTCGGTGGTTTGTTGACATCAGTGCTCTCTCTTGATGAGGAGAAAAATAAACCAAATTTGAACTGAAACGCTGCCAGTGAATCAAAATGTTTCCAGACTGCTGTGAATCATTAATCAGATCCATCCCAGCACCACTGGGATAATGGAAAAGGGAATTATGTGTGGACAGCTGCACTAACAATGAGCCCCAGAGCCAAACTCTGGGGCTCATGCAGTCCTATGAAGCCTCTGTTATAACTGACCGGTCCGTGCTGTATCCTGAGAGTGTTCATCAGAATCAGTGCTGATGCTTTCACTGTGGGAAGCAGCATATCTGAGTATAAAGTGCCTCTTCTTACTTCATCCTGCCTGCTGGTTTGTTACTCTTTACAAAGAAACAACCTGCTTATTTGTATGTTGGCCACTGATAAATTGTATATAATAAAAGTTTCAATTTATGGTTATATATAGTATATATCATATACTTGTCAGTCCAGCTGCGATAATGCTTTGTAAGACCAAGACTATTTCCATTATTTTGAATGATATCTGCTTTACATTGTACAGTGCCTCATAATTCAATATTAAAGGTCTGGCAGCATGTTGGCACGGTGGTTAGCACTGTTGCCGCACAGCAAGAAGGTCCTGAGTTCAATTCCACCATCAGGCCGGGGTCTTTCTGTGTGGAGTTTGCATGTTCTCCCCGTGTTTGCGTGGGTTCTCTCCGGGTACTCCGGCTTCCTCCCACCGTCCAAAGACATGCAGCTTGTGGGGATAGGTTAATTGGATAATCTAAATTGCCACTAGGTGTGAATGTGAGTATGAATGGTTGTCTGTCCTTGTGTGTTGGCCCTGCGACAGACTGGCGACCTGTCCAGGCTGTACCCCGCCTCTCGCCCTATGACAGCTGGGATAGGCTCCAGCGCCCCCCGCGACCCTGAAAAGGATAAGTGGAAGCGAATGGATGGATGGATGGAGGTCTGGACACACAGTGGACAGTTCGTGCATAGAGACAGACAACCATCCATTCTTCACCAATTATCAAACATCTCTTTGAGCAGTGGGAGGAAGCGCCTCGCAGTACCCAGAAGCACCTGCTGTTGGCACAAATGTTGGCCTAACTTTGTATGCTCTGTAACCTCCAACAGCAGTCAGATTGTCACAGTTTTCACGACAAATGCAATTAGAAAAAAAAAGAAACAGGACAACAGAAGTACGGAAAGATCCCAAGAGTGAGTTTGTTAGCGCTCAGAGAGACTTCACACACACATACACACCCACAATGTCACAGGTTAAAGCAGAATGCTGAATGAGCTGGACCTCTGTGTAACTTATCATCCCGGTGGCGCCAGTGTCCGGCAGCCTCGCCTCTGTCAGTGCGCCCCAGGGTGGCTGTGGCTACAATGTAGCTTGCTATCGCCAGTGTGTGAATGGGTGGATGACTGGATATGTAAAGCGCTTTGGGGTCCTTAGGGACTAGTAAAGTGCTATATAAATACAGGCCATTTTTTTACCATTTATCATCTTGCTGCTGAAGAAATTAATTTTATACTGCAGGTAAATCAATGGCATGGTAAACAGAAAAGGAAAATATGGAGTTATAAATATTTGTGGACCCAATTTTCTTCTGTAACTTCATTTTGCATTTCAGGTGCAGCCCGATAAATAAAATACATGTCTTTAATTGACTTCTATACCCCAAGCTGGGCATAAAGCAATGATCATTTTGTTCAATAAACATTTATTTATGTAGCACCAAATCAAAATAACAGTCGCCTCAATGTGCTTTATATTGTAAGGTAAAGACTCT